ATATATATGTATATGTGTGTGTGTGTGTGTGTGCGTGCGTGCGTGCGTGCGTGCGTGCGCGTGCGTGCGTGCGTGCGTGCGTGCGCGCGTGCGTGTGTGTGTGTGTGTGTGCGTGTGTGTGTGTGTGTGTGTACTGTATAGCGTGAGTGTGTGGTGGACTCGATCCTGCTGCCTGTCTCACTATCTCACTACATCTACTACATCACTATCTCACTACCGTCTTTCAGCTGCGTTGACATCGACATCGTCGAAATCTCGACGGTGATCAACGGCGACGACGCCGACATCGACAACTTCTGCGGCACGGTCGAGTCGCAGATGGTCATGTCGAGTGGACCGCGCATGATCGTCACGTTCCGTACGTACCAGCCGCCGCAGCGCGCCACCGCAGACTACAGGGGCTTCCTGGGACTGTACAGCTTCGTGAACAGTAAGTGTGTTGTTCTAGCTTCGTAAACAGTAAGTGTGTTGTTCTAGCTTCGTGAACAGTAAGTGTGTTGTTCTAGCTTCGTGAACAGTAAGCGCGTTGTTCTAGCTTTGTGAACAGTAAGCACGTTGTTCTAGAAGTGCATAGCCTTGTGAACAGTAGGCGCATTGTTCTAGCTACATGAACAGTAAGCGACCATTGTTCTAGCTTTGTGAACAGTAAGCATGTGTTGTTCTGGCTTAGTGAACAGTAAGCACAATGTTCTAGATTCGTGAACAGTAAGCGAGCATTGTTCTAGCTTCGAGAACAGTACGTGGGTTGTTGTAGGAATGATAGTTTTCTAAGTAGCAAGTGTGCCTTAGGAGAGTATAGTTTTTCAAATGGCGAAAACGCGTGCAGAAATGCCCGGACCGCAAGCGTGCGAATCACCACGCTGAAGAAGCATCACGAAGCACACATCTCGCAAAAACTCGTCTCTTCAGACTTTGGAGTAGAGACAGGCACGCTCACACACACACGAGAACACGCGTACGCACGCACGCACGCACGCTCTCTCTCTCTCTCACACACACACACACACATGCAC